CAACAGGCTACACTTTCGGCTTCATGGAATAAATGGAGGTTGACCTTGTCTGGTATCTGAGCTGATGGATTGTCCATGTTTTTCAATAATTTTTCTCCCCCTGCCTGTTTATCTTGACATTTTCTCAGTTCAGTATCTCAGAAGAGAAACGGAGACCATGAGCAGCACTCAGCACATCTGACAAGAGATGGCTTTATGATGAAAAATGGCTGGGAGGTGGCTCAGAACCGAAAAGAGTGACCATTATGGCACTAATTGTTGCTGTATCAGAGTGCCAAAGTCTGAGTGTTTAATTGATGACAGGAAAAACAAATACCAAGAGAAACAGGCCTTTAGCATCTGGGTCCCAGGAGTCCTGTGTGTGAAGGCACGTCTTTGTAGCCTAACAGTGAAATAGCAGTCTTGTATTGAGTTTTAGTCTCTGATTTATTTATTTTTTATTCAAGTAAATATATGGCGGTCACACAAGTCTATTTAGTTCAGGCCTAACCAAAGCCTGGTTCAGGGGTTAATCAAGGCACTTGGATTGGTTCATGTGATAAGTACAGTTTCCACTACCGCTAACTTGTAGCATTAATGTGCTGCAACAGTCTTTTTTTCTTAATATTACCTTCATAAGGTAGCCTGAAAAGATCTTTCTGGCGACTTTGTGAAATCCATGAGCTTTTAGTTGAGACTTTAAAGAACAGCATACTATTTATTTGATCTGAAAATACTGTTTTTAAATGATGTGCAGTCTGACAGTTTCAATTTTAATAAACTCAGTTCGCCTGTCAGTGACACTTATTATTATCTAAGAGATTCACTGTCTGTTTGTTCATTGAAAATAATGTTTAAAACCTTATCACTCTGCTGTAGGTGGTGTAACCTTTGCGGTGCCATATTAGTTCTTGTACTCAAAAAATCTAAGCATGCTGCAGATGTCGATATCTGCTGCGCTCAAAGATGACATCTCTAATGATGACATCCTGGGAAAGAAAGAAATTGGCGCCGATGCATTCAAATGCATATGTGTATGCACATCTGTTTAGACTGTGTGAGTGTGAATGACGACACTGTCATCCTCACACCTGTCAGGCTCTGCTCTAAACACTTTCAGAGACCTGTGGCTATTCATCAACCTGTCAGCAGCAGCAGTAATCCATCATTCGCTCTCATTGGTGTTTCTGCCTGTCTCATACAGAGAGAGGGAGAAGACATAATTGTCTACCTTGAAATATAGATAGCTACAGTATAAAATCTCACCAGGGATTATGTATAGGCTTGTATAAAAGATGAGGAGAGTGATCGTCTCTATATTGTTTCTATTATCCTCTACCTTGGGTAAGTTTTTTTTCATGTAATAGATAATGGAAAAAACAAAAGGAATTTCTTATGCCAGTGAATGCCTTATATTCAATTAAAAAAAGAATGATAAGGCTCAATAGGGTTTAGAGGGAACTTTATGCCAGCTTTTAAAATCAGTGGGCATAGAAAATGTTGGAAATAACGAAATATAGAAAGAAAAAGAAAGGGCCATAAATATTTTGGTAATATTAAAAATGTACCTCTGAATGCTAGAAATAAAGTGGCTCACTTCGAAACAAAAGAAAAATAATTAAACTCTAAATTGCTTTTTCATCTTGTAATTCAAGCTTTTTTTATTCAATAACTAAAGGTTATGATTGAAAAAAAAATTCTGATTGATCTCAAAATGTAACATATTTAAATGGAAATTGAGATTCTTTTTGGAACTGTTGGACAGAAAAAATAACGGATTAATAAATATATTTAAACATTAGAATGTATTTCTAAATGTTAAATATATTCTATTTGTTAGAAACACATGGATTGTTATATTGATTTATTTGTTTGTTTAAAAGATTAAAAAATTACAAACCTTGTCGACTATAAATTTACTTATTTATTTTAAAAGAAAAAATTATATAGTAATAACAAATACTACCAGCACCATCCGGCCATTCAAAACGCAGCCTTCTTTACCCACAATGCACACCGGAACCGCCACGTAAACGTAACGTAAGATCCGCTGTTTTCTGTGACTTGCTAGCTGCTTCTGCTCATCGTAAACTCTTTCAGCTTATCCCTGCTGGGTCCGCACCATGCTACACATAATAACCAGGTATTTATTTCCGGACTATTGAAAAAATCTAGACCAGTGTGGTTTTTTCAAGGTTTTGTCCTCGAGGAACAAAAATGCAACACGACTAGTTGCTTAGCTTGTTTATTAGCATATTCGAATGTTTGGTGACTGGCTTTATATGTTAGCAGCTAGGTAGTTGACGTGCTGAAACGAATTCTAAGGAGGCTATTTGTTAACTGGTTACACTGTATTAAGACTGTGTTAGGTAAACGAGAAACCCGTAACTGATGTGCGATGCACGTTGGTATACTTCCTTATAAATAATTTTTTTGTTGTTGTTTTTTCACCCTAATTAATACGCAACCTGTGTTGAAAAAAAAATCTTTACCCGTCTTTCCTTTGAGTATTATTGTAAACTGAATTATTTAACTTCAAGCTTTATCACGAACCCCTTTTTGTTGAACATTATCGGCACTGAATGAACTGGAAGTACTCGGGAACGAAATGCCTTTAAGCTTTTCCTCCGATGTCCTTTTAATTATCGGGAGCTGTCCTCGGTGCTAAACATACATCCCAGTTGTTGTTCTTATTGCATGAAATATTCAGATACATTCATGGCCCTTGTATTGGAATCCCCCACCCCTAGTCATAAGGACATGTTACATTGTCAAGAAAAATAGTTTACTGTGTGAGTTATCTCACCAAAAGTACCAGAAGCATTTTAGCTTCACTTAAAATGTAAGTGGCTGGGATTCATGCAACATGCACAAAAGAGCAACACTTTGCAAATTGTATAGAAATTCAGGTCTGTTAACCGTCTCTTGTTTTACATCTGTTTGCAGACCTTTGTTAAAGTTCCCCAAGCTGTAAGATGTCAATGGTATTGTTTGCCTCTGTGGTTCGGGTTGAGGATGGCCTTCCTCTCTCTGCTTCCACTGACTATGAGCAGGATAAGGAACTTCAGGAAACAAAAAAACATCTCAAAGGTCTATCCAAGAAACTCAACCAGTTCCCCGATCGCTGCACCCTAAGGACTGGGCCGTACAACATCAAGTAAGTCCTAATTGACTTTATTTAATAACTATTATTTATAACTTCAAATATTAATAAACTTACAATCTGTAATGCTGCGTGAAACAAACTGCTCTTTCAGTAACTCTGCTCCTTAGTCAATTGCTTTAGTCTACTGCTTGATAAGAGCTAATTTGTCTGAATAAAACAAAGGTCATTATTGCAAGAAAAACAGCAAATGAGCCAGCAGGGACCCAGTGTTGCTCTTCAAAACTAAAGCCTCTTTAATCACTGAGAGCCTGGAGCTCAACAAGTCCAGGTCAATATCCAGTGTAAGCCACTGTGTTGCAGGTTAATTTGTTCTGCTATTGTTCTGCTTTAATAGTCTGAGGTTAGTTAAAAGTTTATAAACAAAAAAAATCATATTTGTTTGAACAAAACACTTTTTCTGTTACAAGCCTCAAACAAGACTTTGTTGTAAAAATGTTAAACTTTGTGAAGTAAAATTAAATAATTATTTTTTCTCTTCACTCTGAATTTATGATATATTTTCTTAGTGGTCTTTGTATTGATCACTCTGTATTGCAGAGAGACTGAATCTAATGTAAAACCAATTTGTCCTTCAGAAGGATGTAGGTGATTGTGGTGCACTACTTTAGGTCGAGTATTGACTTTGGAACGACTCTCAAACACTTTCTGGTGTTGATTTTTCATCTGTGGCCAATAAAAGTTAGAATCAAATTTAAAATCAGAAAGCTGCCAAGGCTGTTTATTATATTTATGCTATGATTTGTTGGGGCTCTGTCATCAGGTCTCACTTGATTTTGTTTTTCTGCCTTAAGGATAAAACAAGGCTGGACTGCAGTACGTTCTGTGTTTTCTTAAACTAATTCCTTTTGGACTCCCGTGGGTGTAGGAGTAAGAGGAATTTCATTATTTCATTTCTGAGTGAACGCATCTTTGCACTGACATGCTGAGTCAGCAATTTACATTTTCACTGCATAAAGTTTATGTTGCCATTTTGCTATTGTTCAGTCTATTGGTAAAAATGGATCTTCTGCATCGTGGTGAATGTGATAACCAGCCTTTGCTCAATTACAGATTAATTAGAAGTCACTCTTCCAGAGGAAATTTAATTTGTACTTCTTGTAACAATTAGCACTTCAGTGCTCACAGATCGTGCCTGCGCAGGTGCATGTCCATATCACTGTGGTTCTGTGTCTCGGATTATAATAATTAAATGACTGGGAGACATTCAGCACAAATCTGTATCAGCAGCCGGTAAAAGGTTTAACTCTGAGTCTGTGTCCAGTCTGTTCTGCCTATTCCAATTTAAGACGGGGTTATTTGAGAACATATTTTTAATCTGTGTTTCAGTTTCACCAGCTCACTGGGTGTTGGATACCTAATGATTTGCACAGCAAACTACCCCAACGTGCTGGCCTTCTGCTTCCTGGATGAGCTCCAAAAAGAGTTTATTGTCACCTATGACCAGAAACGTATCAGCAGTATCGTGCGGCCGTACTCCTTCATTGAGTTTGGTAAGATCACTTTCTGCAGAACTTTTCTGCTGTAGATTGGTTTTAAAGAGAGCTGCTGAATGCATCTTTGCGAAGATGTTCTTGGGTGACAGAAAGGCACCTATGAAATAAAAATAAATAATTATTATTATTTTATTATTATACATTTTGAGGCATTTTTCTTAACTTTTCTATTAAATCACTCTGCAACAAAGGTCTTGTTCTCACTTCCTCCCTGTGTTTCCTTCCATGTTGCCTGGACTGTCATCTATCAGACACCTTCATCCAGAAAACCAAACAGCGCTACAACAGCCCTCGTTCCTTGTCTACCAAGATCAACTTGGCTGACATGCAGACAGAGATCAAGCTACGACCGCCATATCAGCTCTCCCCTGAGGACCTGCGGGCTATCAATGGGCTCTCTGTGCACACATCCACAAAGTACAAGGGCATAGGTAAAATATGAGCTACTGCTACTGCTGAGCCACACAGCCTCAATGCATATGTGACTAAAATACTCCACCTGAGGAAGAATAAAATTTGCCCTAAATTCATATGATCACACTATTTTATGATTTGTATATGGTCAAAAAACACTAAATATTTTATTGTTTTCACTTTTCACTTTCAGCATTTGAAGCATTTGCTGAATTTTGGGAAAGTGAAAGGCCATTATTCCATTTAAAAGGCACAAAAACCTTTCAGAAGCAAGGCAGCATAAAACCGCATATTATCCTCAAACCTTATGTTAGGAAAAGCGGGTACATTTTGTCAGATTGCGGTAAAACTAATATATCTTCATGTTCATGTGCATTTTCAGAGCACAGGTCTCGGTTAAAAATGCACTTCTGAAAAGTTTACCAAATTCTCTCTGTGGTTCAGATCCTCTCACCCTTCACTAGCTCCAGTTAACAATCCTTGAGTTCACACCATCACACACCAGCCCACCCAGTCTGAGTGGTGCCGTTCTGGGTCACATATAACTGTAGTGTTTTCACCTGACATCCTCTTCACAGCAGCTCTCTGATGTCTCTGTTTGCTCTCTGTGGGTCGCCCTTGCCCATTCCTCCTTTTCAACATAAATCATTTTTGTCCTTGGCGATGAAGTTTGCTAATCTGATATTAGTTATGGGTCAGAATGTTCTGTACGTTAGCATAGCTATGGTCAGCATTTCTATTCTGGGCATTGTCTTTGTACTGAGCAGATGTATTCTGTGCATTTTCTTTAAAAAAAACATGTTTAATCAAATAAACGAACAGTTGTCTAAATAAATATATATATATATATATATACACACACACACGTATATATACATTACAAATGCATGTATGTCTATGTAGGATTGCAAATTTAATTCGAGCTCATTCAGGTAATAAAAAAATACTGACTCCCTTGGAGCAGTTCTAGAGTATCTTATGACCAACTAATACAAAGCAAAAAAAAACAATAAAGTAAAATCACACAACACTCCCTACCTCAAAGCCATCAATGATTGATGTATACTGTTGAAGGCTCTTACAACATCGTAGTTTTTTTTTTTTCCCATGTTGCTGCAATATTTGAATATTATACTTTCATATAACATTCTAACAGAAAGTTCACCTGAACCTGAAGTAGAAAATAAAAATGTGATAAAATATTATGTTTTCTGTAAGTTATGTGCAATAAGACCATTATTGTTTTAAATTATTGTGATTCCAATACTGACCATCATTTTTTGCCCATCATGGAGCAGCTGTGGTCTCTATATTGTTAGTAACTAATCCCCCATTTTTTGTTTTTCAGCCCCCACACAGATGCTGGAGCCGGTGACTCTGCCAGGCATCGTGTCCTGTGTTCTATGTGTTCTCTGTGGAGGCCTGAACCTGCTGCGAGGTGTCCACGCCATAGAGAGCATACTACAGGTAAAGACTGAGAAGTTCAAAAGTAATAGCCAGATTGGTAACAGAGTAAACGATAGATGAAGCCATAAAATATTTCAGAATCCTCCATAACATTTAAAGAAAATTATTCTGAAATTGTGTAAAATAACTGTTTGTTTTTCTCTAAACTGCATCTCTGATAATCAGATGATTAGACCTGCTGTTTGTGTGGTTTTCTTTGCCTAATCAGAAATAGTTTTTCGAGCATAATTATTCATTCAGTGAGCTGTAAGCAGTGCATCTATTGAAAAATGTCTTGGCAAAACCCAATAAACAATAAGAGAGTGGGAACAATAAAAAAAAAAGGAATGTCAGCTTTTGAATATTTTGTTGAGACCTATTGGTGTTTGTAAACTGTGTCTAGACGAGGATGATTAGATCTAAAATCCAGTTTTTCTCCATGTTTCCCTGACTGCACAGAATGACGATGAAGATTTTAATTATGTGATTGCCTTCTTCCTGGGCACGGCAGCCTGTCTGTATCAGGTAAGTGATAGCCTGAAGTAAGAGCCGCTCATCATCAGCTGACTAGCTGACTAATGGCCCGGCGCTTTACAGCACAGCAGTTTGTCAGCTAAACTAAAATTTGCTCAATGCCTTTCACTCTTAGCACGTTCTCGCTGTAACATTTTCAGCTTCATCTTTCGTAGCTCCTCCTATTTAATGCCATTGATTGATGGTCAAACTTAGTTACAAAGTTTAACGATGGCAGTGCATCGTCACGGTTCACATCAGGTAGTTATATGGAAAAGGTCGCTTTTATAGTGTACACTATTATTTATATCTGGGTGTCAGCATTCAAAGTTTACTTTACAGGAAAATGTTTTCTCGAACTTATAGTACCTTGGGTATTATCCAGTCGTCTGTTGTTTTTGTTCAAATAGGAAAATACTTTCTATAAATATTTATTCTTTGCACTTGATAATATTTATTTTTACTGCAGTAGTATTACTAACCAGAGTACTACATCTGTGGAAAGCTGATGTGGTACTTGTCTGAAATTATTTGAAGAAACAAAATATTTTATTTTTTTTAATTTTGTATTACAGCTGAATGTTTTATTGAGGTTCTTTGTGAAAATAACCTGACAACGAAGCTTTTAATCATCACAATCCCGCGGTTTTGACTACTTTTCCATCCGTTTTACAACTCAGTCATTTTTTATTAATTAAACGACTTAATCCTACTAACTATTTTAACATGATACATGTGATGAACATTACTGATGTATTTATTCTTTCTTTATACTTTTCAAAACTGCACTCATTTTTGTAGATATTAATCAAATTTTAAGCTAATTTTAAGCACATTAATCTGGTTTCTTGACGTGCCGATGTTAATTGTTAGTAACATATTTCAGTCCAGAACGGCAGGTTTCATCACCTTTACCTTTAAATTGTAATGAGTAAATCAGACTGCCTCATCCCAGGATACAGTTCCAGGTTGTGGTAGATTGTAAAATTATATCTGTTTAGTTGTTCGAACTGAAACTAAGATATACAATAGACAGACACTCCAAAGACACAAATATCCAAAACCCTGTTAATGTTGTATTATACGGTAATGTCCCATATATATTCATACCATGTTGAAGTCTCCCTTGTTTGCAGCAGTGAATTATTTGCTTTTTCCATCTTTGAGCTAGTCTCTCTTTCTGTTCTCCTTTGCTTTCTCCCGTCCTTTTTGTACTTACTTTATTTGTGTTTTTGAAGCATCTTCAGTTGTTGAATGTCGCCTTGGCCTTTTTTCTTTTTTTCTTAGTATAACTGGAGACACTCTGATCTCCAACACTTAACAAGTACTAAAGCAATCAGAGGAAACATTGATGAATTCAGTGACTTCACAGACGTTGCTCCTCACCATATTCTCTGCTTCCTACTCTCCTTCCAGTGTTACCTCTTTGCCTACTTCTCTGTCTGGAGGAACAGTAAGTCCTTCTTGGCCTTTGCACTCATCTGTCTGTCTAACATGTATCTGTATGAACTGAGGAACGTTTGGCAGATTCTCTTCCACGTGGCCGTGGGGGCCTTCATGACGCTGCAGATAAGACTGAGACAACCGTTGGGCAAAGCACCAGACTATAATGTCTGACAGGAGCTTTTAGCCTAAAGGACAAGTAGAATTTTTCTCTTTTTTTTCATTGGATGTTTTACAAATGCCCAGGAAATGCAACAGAAGACAGAAAGAGTGGGTCTGAGGACAAAGTGGAAGCAAAAATCAGTCCACTCAGTGCTTTTGGTATTTTACCACGACACAGCAGTTCTCTTCTCACTCAGTCTCAGCTCCAGGGGACAGAGGTTTTCTTTGATTGACATCACAAGGTTTTATGTTTGGATGTTTTCTGATGTTGATTTTGAATTGTGACAGAGTCCTGCAAGAAAAAAAATCTGTTTTTTAGAAGCATTTCTAGCACCTTCTCTTTTTTTAATTTATAAAAGGAAAAGCGACAAAACATTTTCACTTTAAGCTGTCTTCCCCACTCATTCAGTTTTATTTTCTGCCCTATATCTTTAGACTTCAGTTTGAAGCCGGAACTATTTTTGTGTTTTAATTGAAGACAAGAGTATAAATGTAGCCGTAACGTCCTGCTTTTAAGACTAGCCCTGTTTTTATTTTTTTTAATCAAGCAAATCACATCACTATAAACAGCAATAAACAGCTTAAAATATTTATTTTATTTTATAATGTATTTGTCTAAATTATCAATAAAATAATCTCGCTAAGTGACAATTTACAATGAAGAATTAGACAGACATTAAAGATGAGAAATAAAGGATAAGGCTCACTACATTTCTGTTTTTGTTCTTGTTTCAAATCCTCATATTTTTAACCTTCCATTGTTGACCATCATGATGCAGGACTCTTTATGGATTATGTTTTGGTTTGTAACTATGCAACGCTGCCTCCTGTCACTTTGAATCTGTAATTATATCTGATTTTTGCAGACATTTATCATTTTTCGACGGCATCGTTTGCTTTTTATTTGCTGATGTAATTTCCTGTAAAAATTTGGATAAATTTCATTTTTATTTTTTTCATGGAAAGTTTTTTTTATTTTACATTCACAAAATAACTCCTGCTGCAGTTGTCTCAAACACACACACACACACACACACACACACACACACACACAGCCTGTTATCATGTTTTTCCCCAGTTCGTCACAGTTCTTTACCCACACAGCCACAAGCATGTGCCAGTGTCAAGTGACAATGTTAATAAACAAGTCCATGTTGGCAGCGGTGTAGGTGCTGGCTGTGTTGACAAAGCCAGAGGCAGCGTGTATCATCTGAGCAGGTTTTTTCCCCACCAAGCCCCTCGGTTAAGTCACTGCAGAAATCCATTCTCTCTCCTCCTAATGAAATTTTAATGGATGTGTGCACCTTTGATGCAATTACAATCAGTTGATGCAGCCGTTGTCTTTATTAGGCTGTGCAGGATTTTGGTTTTGAAGTTTAAAAAAAAATCCAGGCCTTCTACAAACATCCCTGTAAATATGAAACAAATGGAGAGCGTAGAGAGAAGAGAGCTCATCGTATTGTCTTATATTCCCAGACAATCTGTCTCTTCAGTGGATGGAGTGAAAACGACTTTAGTCACGTAACTCCTCCATGTCCATCTGGCAGCGGTACTTCAGATTTCTCCGGGGAGCCCAGCTTTTCTTGTATGATTCATGATTGTGCTCAGTGAACGTTCTCTGCTTTCCAGCAGCGGTACCACACCTACATGACCTAATCCTTCTTTTCACCATTTGGCCAGGACTTGATTGAATTTGAGCTGTGCTTCAGTGTCTCAGATTGTGTTTGTGTTCACATTTTTCCTGCAGCTACAGAGGGGATGTGTTGTTAAAAAGTGGGGAACATTTAATTCAGGGCTTTGTAACTGGTTTATGTAAGAATGGAAGTGGAATGTGATCGTGATCCGACCTCAAACATTTAGAAACTGGAGAAAATGTTTTGCCCTATTAGAATGTGTATGTGTGTGTTGACTGTAAATTACTACCACAAACTCCTGCTTCTAGGAGGGTTAGCTGTCTAAAAATATGGAATGTGGACGTAGAAACAATACATTTTTGCCAAAGAGACTATCTATGGTTTTTCTTAAGGAACGATAAAAGCTTAAGCATGAACGAAACATCGAGCATGGTTAAAAAAAAGGACAGCTCGATTGAACGTTTTCATGTCCAATACTGCATCTTGGATTATCTGGTGACAAGTCCATGGTGTCTTTGTTTAAGACATGTCCCACAAGGTTCAGTTGAGCATTTGAGCATCGGACTGGATGGAATAGAGTTGTTATTTTCGATGTTCATCCTGAAATATTGTCCAGTGTCTGACTAATTCAGAGAAAAAACTTTGCATGTGTTTTTCTTAGATTTGTGCACATATATGAGCCTTGTGTTCATCTAAACCGGCCAGGATATAATTAATCAAGGGTTAATTAAGGGTTAAATAAATTAAGAATATAAGAGATGTTGGAAAGGAATTAGAATTAGCATGGCCCAGATATAAGAGTGAGCTGTGACTAACTGTTCCTTCATTATATTTTACTTTTTTTCTGCTAATGGATCTTTGTCCTTCACATTTTACTACAAACAGTTTCAATGGGATTGTAGAAGGTCTATGATAAACAAAAATACCACTTAGATTTATAACCTAAAATATATAGTGCAGGAACACTTTGCCATAAATAATACAAGACAATCTCATTGACCAAGGGAGGTTTAACATAAAAGCCTGGAGAGTGTTGTGGCAGTGACTGAAACCCTTGTTATTTGTGGCAGTGTACTTATGAGCAGCAGCATTTTCTCCAGCTGCAGACTAATGGACTGCAGGGTTAGTTTTTCCGTGTGGGCTTTAATGTCAAGTGGATGCTCCAAGTGCAAATTGCAGGCCACTTGGAGGACACTTTGAACTTACAGTGCTTTGAGCAATGCCATGGGTGATAATGTTTCTGTGGCAAAGCTCGTCAGGGGTCCTCAGGTTAGCTCTTTCGAAAAGGTCAGAGTCATCAGAAGGCTCTGAAGACTGCACATCAGCACTGATGTGTGGCTGAGCGGCTGTGAGTAAAGTAAATAACGCACTCGATGCATCGCAGCTCATTTTTACTATTTCTCCCAGGACAATTTAAGGAGAGGGAGAATGAGGTTTTAATTACAGTCAAGTGCTGCCTCATCAAATGCATATCATGTGTAATTTAAGTAGCTCTCAACCAAGACCTTAATGAAGACTTAGTTGATGTAATGGCGAGCGATTTTACTTCCTCTTGTTACAGCTGTGAATGGATGAGGCATCGCTCAGGGTTTTAAACAACTATCAGTTCAAACAATCAATGGTTACGTCAATGGTAACGAGACAAAGGAGTTCTTGGACAAAATATGATGATGACGTTCTGCTGCCATCTGTTGGTGGGCTGCATTAACGAGCGTGTGTACTGTGAATCTCGTTTTCAAAGAGTTTTGACTTAAACCTTTGGATTGTTCTGACATGGTCATGAGGATGTAGACAGAGATTTCGTACTAATTTCGTACTAACATTTTTGTGCATTTTTCAGTTACCTCTGAAATAGTGTAAGTTAGACTTTTTGGGACCTAAAGTTTGCTGAGTCTTGAAAGTAGTTTAAAACTAATCTGCAGGTTGCATTAAAAAACAGACTTGAACTACGATCAATTATATACAAATTAGATTAAAAGATAGGTAAAAAAAACATCAATTAAGCATTTGCTGTGTTATATTATACAGTACACGTGATATTTCAACATTCCTAAATCCTACCGTACAAATAATTATTTTCTATAAGTAAATTAACTTACTTCCCTACGCTCTGATACAAGCAAGGTGTCTTCCATGAGCAATGTGAAAGTAACCACAGGATGTATCTTTCAAATGCTTCTTAGAAGTGTCAGTGATGCATGGAGGTTACTGTGTATTTAACCAGTCTTGGGGGACAGTTGGGAACGAGATAAAGTTAAAATCCATGCATTGCTGTTTAGTTAGTCAGTGTTTTACTTAGCGATGGTTTTACCTTTAAAGTGAGCAACCTGCAGTGTAGTTTTTACTGCAATTCTAATTCTAAATTCTAATTTTAAGTTCAAGTTACATCATAATATGCTAAAAGTAAATAAACAGTCGATGAAACCCAGCTTCTACCTGTGAAGGATATCAGCAGTTTATTTGACTGTTTGGGGGGGGACGGGGGGGAGTGTTTGGCATGACAACAAAAACAAGCGGTTGTTTCTGAAGCAGTGTGTGTGTCAAAAACACTGCCTGGTCACCTTGTCAGATTCACTTTGAGTTTCCTCAGCCGTAGGAATGGTAAAAGTACAAACCGACTTAGCTCTTTTTAAAAAGCAGACAGAAATCTGCTCTGCGCTACAGTCTTCTCCAACCCCCTGTGCTTTCTGATAGAACACAAGGCTCACATTGGTGTGGAGTTAGTCCAACTGAATATGTGTCAAACATGTTGTGGTGGAGTTGGTGTGAATGTTGTTAGGCATAAGAGTAAAAGGGACGACGCCAACTAACCTGTCTTTGTAGAAGTCTTTAAGTAGAACTTTAATTTTAATGTATTAAAATAATATTTTTTAAAGGTTATTAAAAGATGAAGATTTAAAAATGTTCAAAAATCTTCCATTGTGTTATTGAACCATGTTGATTCTCAGTGAAACCCAATGTTAACGTCCTGCTAAGGCAGCTGAGTATTTTGTACATTTATTCTACCAAACTGCTGTGTAAGTCATGTTTACTTCTCTTAATAATGTAAATGTCAACTTAGTTGTGTTAGCACAACAAATGTAGAGACATTAAGATGGCACATTGTTGATATTAGTTTCCATGAAAAATCTTTCTGGGCCAAAGACCATTAGATATTTAGTCAATTTGTTGTTTTATGATAACATGTATTCATTAGAATGCAACCTACATATGCAGGAAGGACATAGAGCTGACAGATTGGCTGTATTTTGTTAGTGTTGCTAAAATTTAGAGATGTGGTACAGTGATTTTGTTTTGTATTTTGAGGGAGTAGATTATGTACTCAGTATCTGGCAGATGTGTGGATGCTGCCTTTTGGCCTCTTAAGATGCTCAAAATGTTATAGCAAATGACCCAGTATTTCAGTGGACCCTGCTGTGAATGTCCAGCTGTAGAGTTGGTGTCCGTACCAGACAAATTGGCAGAATGCAATGTACAGTCTCTGTGCAAGACAAGTCAGTCTATAATGTTAAGACATTCTGGAGATGAACTACCAGTACTAACACCTTGCTTTGAAGATAGTTTGCCTTGGTTTCTGTTTTTCTAACCAAAGCCTGTGTGCAGTCTGACACAACAAAGCCAGAGATGATCTGAGGAGTTTGTACAGCACTAAAGTAAATATTGACCAATGTGAGCCTCGGCCTAATCTTCCAATCCGTCTCTGCTGTTTCCCTCTTTACATGACACTTGAGACTACCAAGACAAACAGAAGCAGCTGTAGTGATTTGCACCGATGTCCCTTAAGTCATTGAAATCCATGAAACAATCATGACAGTGGTTTTGTCAGATGACCAGCTGCATAATTTAATACTGAAAACAACTGCCTGACAAGGTTTTTAGAAAGAAAGAAAAAATCCACCAGCAGAATCAATGAACACATTTAAACATGACCTCGACTTTACTGTCCACAGGATGATCAGCATCATCACCACCTTCATTATTAGAGTTCATTTGAAAGGCCTCATCGGAGATCATTGGACATTCATTGGGTCGTACCATCTGATTGAGCTAGCAACGGGGAGGGGAGCACAGGAGGGGAGGGGCGAGGGGTGGAGTAAACGGCTAAAAGCACTGGAGTACAAAAATGGCTTTTTAGAGCACCAAGACCCATGATGCATTTTCTGCTTCTCGTCTGGCGCTCAGAGTTTGCACTGGCTCTGGTTGATGCCTCTTGTAATGCAGTAGTGAAGGGAAAGCGCCAGAAAACGACTTGTAATCAGAAAACGTTTGATTCCACCAGAGGCATGAATGCTCATTCCAGTGAAAAATGCAGGATTCAGGTGAGGGAAGTCAGTGACGGTACATTAGCCTCAGGACCAGGCAACACTGGTGAGGATTTGTAAATCCTCACTCTGCAGTGACAGAGTATGTACATCTGAATACACACCGGTGTTTAAAGATAGCTCTCTGATATACTATAGTACAAAATATAGAATCTGAAAATATCTGACAAGTGTTTGGTGTTCTGAAGTCAAAATACAAAAAATGTAGAAGACCAGAAAAAAGCTCTTCATTGACATCCTCCGTGTGTGTGTGTGTGTGCGCGCTAGTGATACTGTGTGTGTGTGTGAGAGAGAGAGAGAGAGAGAGAGAGAGAGTTTAATTTCAAACGTGTACGACATTCCGTTAACACTGTAAATGTCCAACCTTGTCCTCTATCCTTCATTTATCTCTTCCTTCCTTCTGCGTCTGCAGTGCTTGTGATTTGAACATTTTTGTACCTGTTTCACGACAATGGACAAATATCTTGTCTTTAATAGAGTACAGTAAGTCTTAAACATACACATAAAACTGTGTTTTACAGTCAGCAGGTGAAAGGCAGAGGAGAAAGAGGGAGGAAACATCTTTGTCCTCCTGAATGTCTTTCTCAATCCCTTGCGTAAATGTGGCAGATTAAAGGACAAAGAAATTGTCGGAGAACATTTTTCCATTGGCACGTCTGTTCAAATCTACCTCTGATTGGACATCTTTGGTGTCACCCTCAGAGTCAGGCTCTGTCTTGGCCCCCCTCCTCTCCTCTGAGCTTTAGAACAGTAAATGTCCTTACTTCTCCTCGTTGTGGCCTCGGTGGGTTTTAAGAAGGTTTCCGACCCTCCAGAGAGCTATGCAGTCGGACTCAACAAACCGTGAGCTAACAGGTTCATGAGGTCGCTCGTTAGGACTTAAGGCGGTCTCAGCCCCCTGTGGTCTGTCTGTCCTGAAGTGTAGGTTAACTGTTGGGGGGTCCACTGGTGAGGAAGTAGGTCATCATCTCACCTTTGCCTTTGACTGTGACCACACCTCTGTACTCCAGTTTGTAGTTGTATGAGCTCAGTACCTGGTACAGGTCGGTCGTCACCTACGACACAGAAAGACTCATTTTAAATTGTTTACATATTTAATCAGTCGATCGTTATTAAATTATGAATGTAATCAGGCTGAAAAATAGATGTAGTAAGGAATCAATGTAAATATCCAATTAGTTTATGGCAAAATAACTAAACTACTGCCTGCTAGTTGATGTCCAATGGACATTTTCTGAAAAATAGAGTCATCAGCCATGCTACATAGTAATTATTTATTTAAATATATACATTTTATATACAATATTTATATATATAATATATACTTTTTTTTTCTTTCTCAGTAACTTTGTTAATCCCATTAAGCACCATTTAGTCTCTCTGTTTAACCAAGTGTATCTCAAAGTGTGGGGCGGAGGAGTGCGTTACCTGGATCCTCTCTGGTACACCTGTGCTGTCCATGCGACTCGCCACGTTAACCGTGTTGCCCCAGATGTCGTACTGAGGTTTCCTGGCCCCGATCACACCAGCAACCACAGGACCGATGTTGAGACCTGAGAACAAAAATAAACACGTCAGTCAACGTCGTCAAGAGTTACTGCTTTTAGACGAAAGAATACTAAATACTAATAATTTATTCTATAGTTCAATCTGGTGAATAATAATTTGTTTTTTTCTGAGACTTCAGTTTAACTACGTTCTAGCCAATAACCATTTAAACACCAACTGCATCACTCAGTAGTACCATCGTGCTCACCTATTTTCATTTTAAAGTTGTTGAAGGAGTGTTCGTTGATGTATTTCATCTGGTCCATCAGCCTCATGGCGTAGTCGGCCAGAGCTCTGATGTGTGAGCGTCCGGCCTTGTCGTAGGTGGAGTCGTTGAGGCCTGAAGCTGCCATGTAGGTGGAGCCGATGGTCTTGATCTTCTCAAGCTGACGGAACTGATCCTCACTAATGATCTGTAGAGGGCAGCAGAGTGAGGTTTCAACAATGGGTTGCTCATGTCAATTTCCACAGAACAATCCCTATCAGATTTAAATTTTTCCTCAAACTGAGAAAAACCTTCGCATCTCACCTCATCAAAATCTGCAATGATCTCATTCAGCAGCCTCAGACACTCCACTCCCTCGCTGTTGGCCTCCAGCTCTACGTAAAACTCGGAGAAGTTGCTGATGGAGGCGAACATGACAGCGACACACTCGCACGACTGGTAGTAGAGCTCGTCGTTGCGCCGTTCACGCTGTAGGAAGTGGGCTGCCACGTCTTTAGGCAGGATGTTGTGGAGCAGGCGGCGGTTGTAGGCCTGCAACTCCTCCATCTCCTCCTTCTCCTCTGTGGCCTGATGAAGCATTAAAATAAACACCGTCCTCATGCTGACTCAGCAGGTTTTCACTCTTTTTGATGAGCTGTTTTTCAGCCTTCTCGCTGTTATTAACATCATAGTCGTCTTGTTCTGCTGCCGTGGCTGAGAATTTACTTAATGTAACATCAGTGACAGTGTTGAGTTGGAAAATAAAGAATCCTACAGCTATTTTTTTTTCTTTTCTGATAATTAATTATCCTCCTGACTGGATTACTAACCAGAGGGTGTACAGTCTGCATCAGTGCTTCTCCATTAGATATGAAGGAATCACTGAGCTTCCCCAAAGACGTACTACTCATCAGCCTCATGCTAGTTTTCCTCCATCACTCTCTGAGGGAAGCAGCAGCAGACTACCTTTGATGAACGGCTCAGAAGAACCCTTCTCAGAAGACTTTTAACCTCAGGAATTCCACCACAGTGCAATCACTAACCTGCAGCTTCCAAAGAAAATCTAGTCTGGCCGTGGACTCCACCTGCTGGGCGTGAAGGTAGAGGGCAAGAACGAAGACAGTGATGACCACCGGTGTCATGATCTTGAGAGGAACCTTTGAGTCCATCACACAGCTGCAGGTCAGCAAACAAACAAACAAACAAACAAACACATGTGTTATATAAAACAAGTACCACAAGTGACTTCGGCTAAGGCTAGCATTAGCTTTAGCTGCAACAGAGCACTGCAGCTTTGAGCTAACGTGTCTCTGTTGTTGTGAATGGCTGCAGAAGGACTCACCTTGTTCCATTCACGTGCTCTCTATGGGAGTAAAAAGAGCCAATCAGAATTCAGGATAAAAATAAGAACGAGAGACCTTAGTGAGGAGTTGATTCGCCGACTCACACAATATTGATGGCATTGGCCATAACCAGAAGGTCCTGGTTGTCAAAGAGGTTGACCTTGGGCACCTCCATGATGAGCAGGTAGACCAGCTCTATGAAGAGCATGAGGAAGAGTTTACCAATGCTGCTGATCTGCAGGAAGACGGAACAGGCCAGAAGACTCAGGAGAATGCAGGAGGAGAAGTACTGAGGGAGGAAAAAAACGGGAGGACAGAGAAGGTTAGGAAGTCTGGTTAGGATAAATGAATCCTAGATTTCTTCTGGCTCTGACTGATTCCACATTGGACTTTTGTCCAATTTCTACACGTTGATTCATCACTACAGCTTTCATCTCCATTGATCTTCTTTCTGTTTTTCTCCATCTTTCTTGTCATCTAATAAAAAAACAATTATTGGCCATTTTTCCTGCAGCGAGCTGACTCGGCTCTTTGCTGTAATTTTTCTGGTCTCCTGGTAGAACTTTGAATTCGATTGTTCATTTTCCACTTTTTTTGTTTCGTTTTTACGTGAGTCTAAATGTAAAGCTTCAGTTTTTTTTTAATCTAAGTTTCTTTTGTATTTTTATTCTGAAAAGTGAAGCTGTGGTTGTTGCAACATTTTTGAGGACATTTACGTCACATCTGTACCTCAGGGAAGCTGCAGATGAGACCGTCGTCTCCACAGGGACTGTGTTGTGCGTCCAGGCTGTAGTTGAGGAGGCGGGCGTGGCAGGCGTTCACACTGTTCACACTGATGTTCAGCTCTGCTGTGATGCAGCTCCGCAGGTCCTGGCTGCTGCAGGTGAACTGGACAGTGTCAAAGGTCAGTGAGGACAGACGAAAGGATGTTAAGATCTCTTTACTGCCGTAGCTCTCAATTATAAAGTAAAATCTTTAGATTTAAGATGTGATCAAGTCAGAGAATTTAGATTTATTGTTAAAACAGTTTTAAAGTGAATTTTAATGAGGACCACTTACAATATTGATAAAAGCAGAAAGAAATACAGTGATGAGGGTGAAGATGCCGACCATGGTGCTGTTCAGTCTGGACTGGACTATCTGCTTAGAGAGTGTCTGCAGAGGGACTGGGAATAGCTTTGTACAGAAGAGAATGATGGGTAAACAGGGTTAAAAAGGCAACCGTTTTTTGGTTTCTGATGTAAAAATCTGTGATTTTCTCTGTAGCATTTGGTTGTGTTGAGAGAAACGGAATATTCTCTCCAGGTTTATTTACTTGCAGTTCTGGATACTTTGTAGTTTGATAAAATATCTGAATAAAATTGCAATATATCAACCATTAGGAAAACAAATAGCAAACATAAAAATAAACCAACAGCTTGAAAACAGCTTGATCTGGTGTAGCCACCGGAACAAGTGAGAAACAGAAGACAAGTGATGAAATCTGAGATGTTTATTACAAGAAAAAAAAAGGTTTTCCTGCAGGAAAATTGGAGATTTTTGTTTTGTTAAAAATAGTCTTTTTAGTTTCAAGTATAAAGAAGCTCACCGCAAAACAGCAGTAGACAGCAGAGATGAACATGATGGCCGTCAGGATTGTGAGACAGGAGACGAAGAAGCCGATCATCAGACTGGAGCTGCAGAGAAAAGACAGCGGGAAAGTAGTTTAGGTCTTATTGTTGTTGTCGTTGTTTGTGTCATCAGTGGAGACAGTAATGACCTGGTGTGTAAACTGAAGAAGAGAGATTAGAAACTACAATGATGGAGAGGAAATGGAAAATAGATGAAGAGCAATATGTCGTTGAGGTTCTCTGTCATCAGGTCAAGGGGGGCGGGGGGGCTGTTGTGGTCGCAAAGATTACAGTGTGTATGGGGGGGGTATCACCTATGAGGGAACCATGACTGTTTGGTCCTTGGAGTCTGTCTGTGTTTATATCTGGAAGAGGTTTGGATTTCCTGGAGAAAGAACTCCACATTGTAGGTGGATCAGATCTTAAAGGTTCTGTCTTTAACCGCCTGCTCTATTGAGTGATGGTTTCTCCAGGTTGACATAAATGGCTACCTTCACTCCTCCTTCAAACCATCTGTTGTCCCTGACAGGAGGAATGCAGATACATTCCCATCCTCAAAAGTGTGACCTTTGTCCTGAAGATGTAGCTGAACCCTGTGCTATCCCCTCTTTTGGTATTGGGTGTGGTCTCTCCCTCACTGGGTTCAATACCAGAAACTTCCCAGCAGTTAGTTAGAACTGAAGAAGCCTCTTGGAGGAGAGGAGAAACATCTTCAGAAAAACCCACCAGTCCAGTTGCCCTTGACGTAACTACTTCTGGATTAAGAGTAATAGATTAAATAATGAGTCAGAGAGGAGACAGCCGTGTTGGAGGCTGCGAGGAGCAGCGGGAGGTTATGAGTGGAGTCAAAGACAAGAGGGGGATGAAAGGGTGAGGGAGAAAGGTTAATAAGAGGCAGAGCAAAGGAGAGCAATATGAAGAGGTTGGCCGAGAGTGAAGTATGAGGACAGAAGCGATTATGAAGAGAAGAGGATCAACAAGGAAAATCAGTTGTATTGAAAAAGTCCATCCAGCCATCCGCTTATCAGGTCGCGGGGGCAGCAGTTGCCACCCAATTCACACTGCACCGTACCAACCCCCCTAAACCTTCCTGCAGGTGGTGAGTCCACTGGAAGGTACCAACCGCCCTAACTGGGATTCGAACTTGTCCAGCAGGTGAACCCTGGCGTTCCACACCAATGACAGAGACATTGCCTCTGGGCCAAAGCACCATTATTGAAAAAGTCTGCTGCAGAAATCCAATCACACTGACTCATGTCAATATAACATTTGAATTAACATATAAAATATAGGGTTGTCAAACGGACTTGTTGGCAGCAATAATTAAGAAGTGGTTTTTTGTTGGTTTTTGTGGTTTTGTTTTTTTATATATATTTTAACACACCTAGAATACAGGGTAGACGGTATAACCAGGGGTCACCAATGTTATTTGTCTAAGGACCATAACTTTTCTAGACCTTGTGGGCCAGACACTCAGATAAAATAGAATAAGAATCACATTTTTTCAAATAGTCATAAATAGTGGGGATTACTGATAGTTCTTTAAGTGTCAAAAAGGTTTCTGTTCCAGCCCCTCAACTCAGCTGTATTTACAACAGGGAAACTATAGGAAAATGAATATGGTAAAAAAAAAAAAAAATTTATTTAATTAATTACAATTATTTTCATGGCCTTTGCCCCATTTTCTGGAACCAAAAAAAATTCATTTTCTTTATTAATTGTGACTGTCTTCCTTCTGTACTGACGTAGGTCCCCCAACTAATCTATAATGAGTGTAACTTTAACTTTCACACTAATTAAAAGATGTTCACGTGCCATATGCTGTGGCAGTTTAGACAACCGGAAGTTAGTCTAGGATGTTAGACAACATCCAAATGTTAAACCAGTAAAGTGTGGCGTGTTACCAGTGAAGGGACACATGGATGATTTCAGCATCTGTCAGCACCCTGCTGTCATTAATCTGACAGTTCGTGACAAATGTGACTGTGGGAAACCGAACTGCTGTCATTTCACGTGTTGGTAATGGGCTCCTACTTGTGTGTGAGGATGAATAAAATACAACTTTAAAGGAGAAAAGACTGCGCTCGGCAGTATTCCGTTCTGTGGACTCACGGTGGCACTATGACGATCTGGATGATACAGATGAAGAGGAAAACCAGGGAGGCACAGGTCACGTACGCTCCAAACCTCAAGTCCACCTGTTTGGAATACTGCAAAAAAAGAACAGAGAGCAGAACGAAAAGATCAGATCAACAAGTCTCTCTCTCTGTCTCTCTCTGTCTCTCTCTCTGTATATATGTGTCTATTTCGCCTCACCTTCTTCTCAAGGTCAGGCTCCCTGAAAGTGAGCAGAAACTTCTTGACGTGTTCTGACCGCAGACGATCGATGCTGCGCGCGTCAATAGCTCGACCCAGGAACTCGTCCACTTCGTCCTCAGGGTTCAGATTTTCCTGTGTGTTCCTGAAGATAAAGTGCCTGAGAGAAACAAAAGGAGACCGGTTGATAATTACTCAGAGAAAAGTCACCTCGGTTCTTTTAACAATGTTTTTCGTGGCTTACAGCTAAACACCATTTGATTCATAATCAATCAGATGGTTTATTCTGTCAGAGGTAGAAACAAGTGTTAACAACCTCCCTGACCCTGAGATCCAGTAACATCCTCATAAATGTAGGTTTGATTGAAAAGGAACAGTTGACCCAGAACAGCCTAGAACCTCTCAGATCCTCAGGACTCTGGTGAGCATTTTCCTTCTGTACTCAACACTGAATCTGCAAAGTGTCACTTATATTGACTGAAACTCTCCAGGCCTTGTTGACAAGCAGTAATCAACTGATGGAGAGGTCGAGCTGCTGTGACAGCAGTCTGCATGCGTGTTTATGTGGGTGAGAGAGAGAGAACCTAGAACTTGGTCTGTGGTCGGGGCCTGTAGAAACACCTCACTGTGACTCTGCAATCTCTAGTGATGATTTCTGGTAGTCCATAACATTCCGAACACACAACATAACATTCCAAACTCTAAAAAAAAAACTTCTAAGTCTGCAAAAAAAACACAAGGCATCTATACTGTGGCCTCAGGCAGAGGCTGACTCTGCAGATGCTCCATGGAACAAAGGAGCAGGGGATGAGGAGGAAGAGGAAGAGAGTGCCTCCTCATTAATGAGTGCTAACATATGTCTGTGCTGGGTCAGACAGCTGTCACTGCACCACTTTACTGGCATTTCTAGTATCTACTGACTCAGACATGTACAAACTCTGACCAAACTGAGGTCATTTGTGGCACTTAGATTTGGTTTTGTGCGGCCAACATATTTTCTTTTGCATTAATTATTGATGAACCTCATTCAGGGCAGCTGTTTTCCTGGAACACAAGGCTTCTTTCTGCTGTAGAATTTGTTTTAGAAGTACTCTGGATTATTTCCAGGGCAGTTGTTTGAAGCCTGCTCCCTCTGGATCATCTTTTACTCTGCCTTTTTGCTAACCTTGAAATGAAACAAGGTTATATTTTGGCAAAATGCATTCAAATGAGTGCTGTACTCCTGACAAACCTTTAGTTATTTATGGATAACCTGTCAATTTTCTTCAGGTTGCTGTAGTTATTTTACTGCGTATTTAGCTCATCTGTAGGATGGGGTATTTTGGGATATTTTTGTGTTATTTCTCACTCTTTGGAGGGAATACTTTTTTTTTTTTTTAATATGTTAAGTACCAAATGGATCCCTATAAATGTGATGCATGTGTTTGTTTAGTCAGACAGCAGGAGCTATTGGCCCTGGGTTATGTTTACATTATAGACCCTGGCCTCCCTCCCTAACAGAAGTCATTAATCTCTATATACTTATCACAACACCAGACAACAACCAACAACTGTAAGACGGGTGTAAACAAACAACGGTGTTAAAAGAGACCTCAGATCATGATGAGACAGCAGGACTTACTTGTCTTTGGGGTCTTCAAATCCCTGCAAGACAAGAAACAAAAACAAATAATTAGCTGAAAATTAATATTAAGAAACTTGTCATAGTCTGACAGCAGGAAAAAATCTGAACTAGAAACAACAAAATAGAGCTGTTAAGTTTAAAAATCCCAATCATGCCAGTTAACCGTTGATTTATTAAGGTAAATTCCAATAATGCACTGCATCTTGATACAAAAATGTCCTTTAGAAGCTTTAATGCACCCCGTTTGATCTAAATAAATCGTTCAGAGCATGTTCGGCTCCTGCTACTTCATTGTATATCAATAAGTACAAATGTTTCGGTCCTTTTCTGGTATAGGCTTGGACTTTCAAGTCTCGACTGTTGGAAACCGTTTACTCTCATATGTAAAATGTCTCCCCAGCTCCCTCTAGTGGCTAAAAGCAATATTGTAAGTTCTGAGGAAGTACGGTCGTATTTGAGTATCTTACATAAAACAGTTCTGACTCTCTGACCAGACTAAATAAAACACAAGCGGCTTCAACACCTAGTCCTTCATCTCCATATACCTCATCTACTTCATCATAAACAACAGCACTGTTTCCGTACATACATTTCTGTAAAATATTGTTGTCCTCTGAGAGTCTTTAACCACTCACTCTTGAAAACCTGCTCTATCTGCAGCTTTGTGGTGATGAATGAGCCACACAGAGATACATAGGTTAGACTGATGACGGTGAAGTTTGAGTTTAAAGTCTCTTATGTTCCTGCAAAGTTTTAGAGCACTCTCTGCGTGAAAGACCTTGGTAGAATCAACACACACACAAATCCTGTGCATGGCAGGGAGTGTGACTATAATCAGTCATCCAGTAAAACAGTAGATAACACTGTCTTATTTTAAAGGACAGTTGTTCATCTTTGTTATTATTGTTTTTCTCACTGTCAGAACGGCACTCAGTTTTTCCTTGTTTTTTTCCGTCATTATGTTTGTTGATAACACAGACCTCACTTCCTTCATTTACAAATAAAAGTGTGACTCAAATAATTACAATAATATATGGGCAATCTATACACAGGACAAGGACAAGGATCCAGGCTGCGTTAAAGCTATTCCAAATTTGGTTGTTATTTGGATCGATCGATTTAGCTTTTTTTGTGCATTTTTGTCAAATTGAAAGATGTTTCAGGTTTAGTTCTTGGCTCTGTTTTTTTTTTTCTTTTTTTCTGGCAGATGTCTAGCTGTTACTAGTCTGGGATAAATTTCAGGTTTTCATTTGACAGGTTTATGTTTTTTTTAACCTTAAGCTATTGCTAGGTTAAGTTACTTTTTTTAATATGCTTTTGGAATTTTTGTTATTTGCTATTGCTGTCAACATGTAGTTACTGTAGACTCAATTAAGCTAACATTTGGTTGTCAATGGCTACACTGAATTATTTTTGTAAGTTCTTTTAGATTTTTTTTTTTTTACCTTTAGCCACATTAGCTATATTTAAGGCATTCTCTATTTTGTATTTCTTTGCTAACATTTAGTGTTCTCTTGTCAGTGTTTGAGGCTAACCTTTAGCTTTTGTCAGTCTAGAATTTTTGGTAAATTATGATGTGTAGTATTTTTTTTAATGTTTCAAAGTATGCCTAACACTAACTATAAAATGAACACTGATAAGAATCTACGAGTCCGTGCATGTGGTTTTGATAGAAATTCTAAAAAATAGTTTAGAATTGTCACACGTTGTTTGGCATCTTAATAAATAATAAAATGAGGAGCCATTTTGTTTTCCTTAAAAAACAAAACTTTTTCATTGATTTTCAAGCACCAACCCAAACACTCTAATAAAAGCAAGTGATCTAGAAAATTATACCCATTTTCTTATTTTACAGCACAGCCACAAAGAGGTGGGTGGAGAGAGGAGATGGAGATAAAAGTGAAGCATTTCCCTGTGTGAGTGACTCAGATGTGGGTGCATCCTTTGACAGCATGAGTCACTGTTTGCAGGGTTGGATCAGTATGTAAATGAAATCATCTTTCTGGACTGTTCCTCTGAGTGAACCTGAGTGAGGGGGAAGGCTGAGGTTCATTGAGGATGTTGACAGTGTTCTCTTCCTGGTACCAGCTTCATCACAGCCGCCCCCGTGGTTTCTGTTCTCTCCCTGATGAGCACTTCCTGAGAGCCTCTCACACCACGGGGTGAAGTGTGGGAGGACCTCTGTGACATCAAGGGTTACCGCGTCTGCTCAGCTGGACTCGTGTCAGATCAACACCTTTTGTGGTTTTTCATTAGTAAAAACCTAAACAAAGATTAAAGTGGGAGCTCACCATCCTCTTCATCTCTTTGGAAACCTGGTTTCCTCCCAGATGGTTGTAGAAGGGTCGGTCACTCCAGTGGCCACTGTTGTGCGTGACGGAATTGGTCCTTTGTCGGTTCATTTTGGCGATCATGGCCTTTTCCTCTTTCTGGAGGTGATGCAGAAACAGAAACAGTTATCAGAGAAAAAAAGATATTTTTGACTGAACAAAACCTTTGACCTATGATACAGAGTGAAAGTTCTGGCCCTGAAATGAGTCAGTGGGCTGATAGCTGATTTATTAATCAGATTTACATGCTGCAGAATAACTGGTCCATGTGGGTGATAAGAAGTCCAGTTCGGCTGAATAAATTTTTAAAAAAATAGATTATTACAACGTTACATTTGCTCAATTATTTGTTGTAATGTTGGTTATGTGATTTGGTACACATGCATATATAGATATATATTTTTGATTTTTTTTTACCTACAGAAACTACAGAAAATGGCTTGGTACAGTCCTGCACCAGTAAAAATCAATATAATACAACCATGGAAATTCAATTTGACATGAATAATAGAGTTACACTCTCCAGCTTTGGCTTTAAAAGACAGCGGCTAGCCACAGCGCAGCTAACGTTTAAATTAAATAAAAGTCAATTACCCGTTTGTTCTCACAGACCAGACGTTAGACTTCCATGCAGTCTTTGAATATAGCACAATAATTAGATTGAACCTCTATTCTCACATCTCACACAGCAGAGTAGCTAAATGAACATCACATGTGTGTCTATCTATAGTCACAGCTTGTGGTGTTGCTACTGAGCCCACACACACTGAGACAACAGATTAAAACTAACACTGTCATAAACAACCACAGACAAAGTGGAAAAATTGGGAATAATTATACTGCTGGAAAAACACAAACAAGTGACAATATTCCAGAGCCTGACTCAGTAAAAACATTCAGGCACTTGTTTATTTCCAGCACAGGTTTGTTTCTCGGTGTCAGAGCTGGTCCTCTCGGCCTGTTGAAGGGCTCTTCTGCTCCCTAGTGGCTAAAATTAAGTAGCTGCAGACTGACAACAGTAAAAACAAGAGGTGTACCCTTTTCTGACTGCAGCCCACAATGAGGTAGGTTTCGATGCTGTGCTTCTTTAGGTAGGCGTTTCTCTCTCCTCCTGCTCCTGGCTCCACATCATAATCCCCGTTCAGATAATTCAGAGTGGCCTTAGTGATGTGGATACGTCTGAAATCACAGAAACACACAGTTACACATAAATAAACGCTCATGTTTCACTAAATTAACAGTGCTGTAGACAGGAAGTACAGACACTCAGACCATGACTGTAAATCCATACCCAGCTTTGCCTCCAGCTTCCATCTGATTGGCTAATGTTACGTCATTGGACCAGACATCAAACTGCCACTTCCTGAGTCCCAGTACTCCACAGTGTACTCTGCCACTGTGAATGCCCACTCGCATGTTTACATTGACTCCAGTCACCTCTCGCACCAGCCTGTAAAAATACACATACAAATAAATATTTCTACTTGTTTACCATTATACTATTAAACTGGCATTCATAATTAAGTATTCATAAAAAATTACAATAGCTGCGCCCTCCTCTTTGGGAACCACTGCACCAGATTAACTTACGAGATCGCCTCGATCATGTCCAAACCCATCTCCACACAGCAGTGGGCGTGGTCAGCCCTGGCCTCAGGTAGACCAGACACACAGTAGTAGCAGTCACCCAGGATCTTGATCCGTAGACAGTGGTTCTCCTGTCAGGAAAGAACATCGACACAAAAGAATTAAAGAAAACTTCAGAGTTAGAGATGGTTCCATTGTTTTGTTCCAGTTACATCTTTTTTTTTCTTTATAAATACAGTTTACAATTTCACAACATAGTAATAATGTTAGGAGTTGATGATCTGGTCTGAAGCCACTGATAACATGTCTGTCTGTTATCTTTAAACTTTTAATGATGGATCTTTAATCACTAATTATAATCAGTCCAATTATGTGAATATTAATATCAATGTATTGATAATATCAGCAAGGGTTCTACACTCGGCGGTCCAAGTACTCAGCAGACAGCCTCTTGTCTCTTATGCTTTAACATGTAATATTTTATTTCTTACTAAACTAAGAAACAGACTGTTGAGAATCTGATTTTTTTTTTGTTATTTTTGTCATTTTTTTTAATCTGTTTTTAATGTCAGATCTACGTTTCCTCTTTGTACTGTATTATCCTAGTGGAAAAAAACTAATGATGAAATGAAGGTCATTATTTTTACATAGACAATATCATGTTATTATAAATGTGTTATAAATGTGTTGATTATTTTCATATAAATATAAATGATAATGATAATAAATATAATTACAATAATATATTTTGGATAAAAACATAAATAAATAAAATAATATTTTACAAAAGTACGACAAATACCGCCATCTGCTGGTTTCGTAGTGCAACTAAGGCTCAGCAGACCTCAGGCTTATTTGAAATCTACAAGCTGATTTGTTTATTACTTTATTGGCACGAGTGTGCTACATGTGCTTGTGTCCGCGGAGCTCAGGGCAGCGCTGGGTCTCATGATCGCCTCCTGAGTATCTCTGTAGCACATGGCTCTGGGAAACACAAAAAGGCTCTGTGTGTTCAGAGCACAGAGGCCGAATACTGTGTTGGTGCGTGCAGTGATTTTTTGCTTGTTAAAATGATTATGAATCTGTGGCTAAATATTGATCAGCAAATCTTTTCACACTGAGCCAAAGTTTAACAGAAACTTCTGTTTGTGCAGCTGGGATTCAGATGTTAGAGTTTATTTTGGAAGATTCGCGTAGGACTCCTGAAGTCTCTACAGTAGATGCATGTTCATGGTCAAATATGGCAGTGACTGTTGCCAAGGACAACAGAGTAACTGTCTGATCTATATTCATAAACATCTTGTTCTTTTATTTAGCACGTCTGCTTTTACAGAGTATTAATAAAGATCAAAAATAGAACTATACCCTGGATATTTCTACGATGTAAAATTTGAGTTGTATTCATACTTCTGTTCAAATTTAAATAAGGATCCTCAAACTTTAGATAAGTCTTTACTCCTTTGTTTTCTACAGTCTTTAAATCATTTTATGTTATTATCGAGAATTTGAATATTTTTTGCACATTTGTTGTTTGAAGGTCAAAATAAGACAGTTAAAGAAATAAAGACCAACAATAGTGACCTTGTTTTCCAGGGGTTATACAGTGAGCACACACACATCACATTGCTGAGCTGAACTCCTTCCATGACCTCGAAATGTTAGAACTGAATTCCAGTCGTCAGAATGGGATTCTCAGCCACACACACACACACACACACACAAAGAAATGTGATCATGTGAGTGCAGTCGGTATGACTTCACTGTTAAAACTGTACATGCTGTCAGTTGTTTTTTGAATTGCTCATGATATGCTAGTACTCCCTCTGCATTTTACTGGTATATCCTGATGTACTTATTGGGTACCACATCCAGGGATCAGTTCTTACCGCTGCCAGTTTGTCAAAACGGGCAAAAAGTTCGTTGAGAGTCATCACCAACTCCTGCGCCGTGCACTGTGAAGCCAAACTGGTGAAACCCTCGATGTCTGCAAAAAGGATGCTGCAGAGACAGAGAGAAAGGAACTAAAGTCATTGTTTTGTCAGTTCTTCCCTTCAACCCATTTCACATCATAAACTCGACTTCATATTTACAATTAATCCTGTTTATTTCCTCTCTGAGTGTGGAAATAAATGCTCATTAGGTGCATTTATCACAATGCTGTGTTAATGGGACAAATGTTGTGACAAATCAAAACACAGCTGTGTTAGGATTTGGATCTTCAGCCTCATATATATTCAGTGGTTGCGGTGGGATTTTGTGTTGTACTACTGATCTTTGTGAATCAGGGCTTTAATCGTGCGACTACAACTTTTTTTATGTGTTCTCTTACATCTTCGTCGTGCCTCCTAGGGACACGCCCCCCATTTTAGAAGCTGCTTTTTTTTTTTACACAGCCCAGCTTCATTTTTTATCACCAATCTCACTAATCAGAGTTATATTATATATACAGTGTATACGTGACGCTATGTTCCTTTGAAAAAGACCTGGAACTTTCAAGTGAAACCATAGAGTTTTTGATCTTTCTGTTGAAGTGGGGAGGGTCTTTATTTTCTAATGATCTTTCATTCTTCGCTCATGGTCTGTTGTAAAACTGTGTTTAATCTTTCCTAATATTTACGGCTTCAGAAATCTCCTCTTTTCCTCTGTTTATCTTATGTGCTGACACTTTCTTTGGCTTGTTTGACTTTGGGCTTTGGGTAAAATGAGTCAGTGTCTCATTTTACCCAAAGAGTCCATTTCTGGCTGCTCTAGTGTTTTAGAGGGAAGCTAATATAAATAAATAAAAATGGGCAGATGAAGGTACATAGAAATGGATGAGACAAAACCCCTCTCTCTCTCTCTCTCTCTCTCTCTCTCTCTCATGAACATTTGTTCAAATTCTCATTCGTCATTTCAGTTCAACCTGCAGCTTATTTAACGTGTTCTTTTCATTTGAATAACAAGTCGACATTCACACCGTCAGTCAGGAACTGAGAGAAATACATGTAGGTGAATAAATAACTCCAGTCAAGATGTACCTTGAATAAATGACGAAGACTGTGGCCAACGGTTCGTTTAACGCACTTGTCTGTTGGTGACTGCACCGGATAATTCAGCAATAAATGAATGAATCTTTTCTAGGATTCATCCTACTTTAGGGACAAAGCAATTTTAATGTGGGTTTCCATTTAAGACAAATGAAACAGATTGACAAATGAACAATACATACAAAGCTAACTTCCTGTCTATTTTGTCACTACTTTTGCACTTTTAATGTTGCCATCTTCGGCAAAGTTTGGCTCATCTTTGAATGTTTTTGCTAACATTTAGACACTTCATTTTCAGCCCTTTGTAACCTTAAACAATTAGAAAATCTAGTATTTTTATGTTTAATTTTTCTTTCAAGTGAATGTTTTTTAACTTAATTTTTTAGTTTCAGAGTCGTGGGTTCAGGGATGTGTTAAATAATTCTATTCCTTCAATTACTTTACATGCCTTTCAAATCAAATCATAGCTACTGATCCTGGAAATTCAATGTATTTTAAAAAAATGCTGTACCAAGATAAGTCAGAGTGATTCTGTCGTTCAAATGAAGTCACAGAGAAGGTGTTTGCTTAAGCAGGAGTGATAATCTAGGGAATCGAACCAGTGGACTCTCTGACTGGACAGTCATTTTCTAGGACAACCCCAAGGAAGAGGACGAAGAGACACTCCATGAATAAACACACACTTCAGACTAAACACGCGTGTAAGAATCTCACAGCCCAGTAATAGGATTGTTTGGACAGTCTGTGTGGGCAGGACCTGCAGCAGGAGTCCGCCGATGTTCCTGAGTGTAAGCTGTGTACGTGGCATTAATTTTACCTAAGTGTTGTGGTCCACTTCCTCCGCTACCCACTGCTTTAAAACACCAACATGTTCTAATGAACTTCACCTCCGAGACTCTGACATTTACTCCATTTGATTCTTGAAATGAGGAGAATTAAGTGTCCCCACTCTGGGACACACATTTCTCAGAATAATTGATTGTTTTCAGGGAAGTGTTGCATGGGAGATCGAGTGAAACCAGACACTGCTGTGTCTGAGCCGAGGCTCTGAGGGCAGTGGAGACGGAGGGAGACCGAGGGGTCAGGGTGGTCAGAGCTCTGGATGATGTGTTTGGACTCCTTATGTTTATAAAAAAAAAAAATCTTAATATTGATTTAAATATGTGATGAATGCACAGTATTAACTAACAAGTCATGTCCAACAGGCTCATCTGCTAATAATAAGCTGTGTTCAAGGGAATTATAGATTACACTTATCCTGATTAAAACATTTATACAAACTAAGAAAAGTAACTTTTTTAATTTTTGAAAAAAAAGAACACGTCTTCTCTTCCTCCTTTCTTCCTAATACTATGATTTAAAGGGAGATCTTGGATGAAACTCACTGGTAGAACCACGGAACAATATCTTTTCAAAATGTAAACAATGGCATTGTCTATGTTTTCAATAGTTTTTCATTTAAATTGGTAATTTGATAAAAGAAAAATATATATTTTCCCGCTCCTCCCTATTGTACATCCTGTGACCCGGGGTCTTTACGTCCAATTCAGTGAAAACCATAAGGAATCCCTCGTAAAAACTTGACAAAAAGCTTCATTGTATTCGTTTGACTCGAACTTTAAACACAGAGTAAGTTCAAAGCAAAAAAAGATAAAAGCCTGGGAGATAAATCCAATGACTGTGTTTATGTTCCCATCAGCTAATAGTTTGGTCGGGGACAAACAGAGCCTGTGTTGATTTGTTCTAAAGTTACATGAGAAGAAGGGGGTGAAGACTGTAGAGAAAATCCTTTGGAAAAATATGCATTGAAGTGAAAGTGATCTAAGATTTTTTTTCATTTTCTTTGTTCTCTTGAACAGTGAACTGAAAGTGAATTGAGTTAGGGCACAAAACAAACCAGTGACTAATGAAAACACCGCCTCCATTTGTTCTGGACAAAATACAGCATATTTTCACGCTTCATCTCTAAAGGCTGCGTTTTAGTCCATTTTAATAAATAACCACCAGTTCAACATAACTCTCAATGTCAAATTAAACCAATGTGTTAGAACAAAACGGTTTGTTTTTATGGACGACACGTGCTGACAAAATGTTTCTTTATCACATTTTTGTGCTTTTTGTGTTTCCACCCACTCTTCCAGAAAGATTTTTATTAATTGTTATTTTATTCTGTTGTAAAACTTACATTTACAGCCATGACAAGACACCAATTAATATTAAATAATATAAGATTTTTCCACAATTATTTTGAATTTCCACGTATAACTTCACACTGATTTATGGCTGAGTTCAAACCAGTTTTGGCTAAGTTAAGTGTTTATGGGTAAGATTAAAGTGATTTTTGGCATCAAACAAGGTTCAACCTAATTGCATTTAGGGCTAGGTGGCTAACTACAGGTTTTGACTGTATTCAAATTGTGTTTAGAGCTAAGTGGCTACGTGGCTTAGGTTAACAATATCTTAGTTTATGGCTATATTTGTACATATTTTGTCTAAGTTCATCAGTTTAGGGAAACGAATCACTTGTTTGTGGCTGAATTCAAACAGGGTTCAACCTAATTTGAACTGCATAGGTGGCTGACTGCTTTGGCTTTACGTTTTACGATGTACAATATGACCTGTTGATTAATCCACGACCAAACCTTTAGGCTTGTGGTTTCTAAATGGCAACCCTAGTGCCTGTGTAACAGACCGGCTCCTCCACACAAGATGACTTTTCCTGCTCTCAAACTGCTGCTGCAACAGCTCACTACCAGCACACTTCCTCTCTATTTCCTCTTTGTCTCTCTAGTTGTAGCAGCAGGAGCTGTCACTTCTCTTCCTGTTGTTTCTCACTGACTCTCAGCAGAGCTTCAATTACCAAACACCACCGGCTGCTCCCCAACAGGCCAGCTCACACAACGTGAGCTGGCCATTAACCACACACACACGACAACAGACAGGAAACAAAGACAATGTGAGTGGACGCTGCTGCTGCTGCTGCTGCTCAGTGATTTACACCCTTCCATGAAATAACCAGTTGAAACTTCCTTTACTTCCTTTTTCTGTCACATTTGTTTTAATGATATTGGCCTAAAACTATTTACTAACAAAGTCACTAGTTTCTCATTACATGACAGACACTTTGTGCCGCTGTTGCAATACAGATTAGACAGATTGTATCAGATTATAGGAAATAAAAAAGGACACAGAGAAAGACGAAGATTATGAAGAAAAACAAGAAAAATAGTCACAAGATGTGCTAGAAAAAAAATAAATGATGAGGACGTTCTGGTATCACATGTATTTTTTTTAAAAATGCTCCTTTTTTTTATCCCTACCTAATGTGTACTTTTACTTCTACAAAACCTTAGAATCTATTTAGGCCAAAATGATATTGCCTGATAATAAATGAGTAAAAGCCCAGTAAGAATAACAGTGTGTACAGTACGTGGCTTTAAATCACTGGTGTGATTTACTGATTTAATGGCACCTATTATGTCTGGAGGTTTACAGGCTGCCACCTGATTATGACAGCAACAGACCATAAAACTCTTCCTGCACAGGCGAATGCCTCGGCCTCTGGTGCCAAACAAGTACAAGAGCACACACACATACGAGTGTAGCTGCGTAGCTATCAGTGTGGGGACGGGATTTGGAAGGAAAAATATTTGTGGTGAGGACACTTTATGTCTTTATAGGGACAAAACAAATCAGTTTTACACGGTCACCTTTATTCTTTCGCCACAAGGTGGTGCCAAATCTGGCTATCATGGTCTGCCCTGTAGGACAACAATGTTCAACGACCCATGTTTCATATACAAGGAGTGTGTGAACAAAGACTAAAGAGCAGCTAACCCCCAGAGACATCGTTAAAACTTGGTGTTTTTGATCTTCTCTGTGTTCTCTGTGGAGTCACTGAAACTCCACTGTCCATTAATAAAACCCACTTTAAATGACAAAGTGTCAGTGGAGAGTAAATAACACTGCAGCATCTAAATATTGATCCCTCACAACCTCCGACTGAGCGCAGTTGAAGAAACAGCAGAGTTGACAACAAGCAGATAATATTTTGATTTTGAAACTGACAGAAATAACTGACACTACCGACGAGAGAGTCTGTAATTAACAAACAGAGGGCCCAGTAGGTGGTGTGATTCTAAGGTCAGACACCACTGAATGCACAGGAGTGTGTTGTCTGTAATCTTTCATCTATTCTGTCCGTGACATAGAGACATTTGTCAAGGTCCGTTCTGCTGACCTGAATCCACAGTGAGCCTGAGGCCTTAGGGTTATAACGCGAAACTTAAAGCAAACAAGTGTTTATCCACAACAGATATGTGTACATGGACACATTTATTTATTTGTAATAAAATGGAGAATTTTAAAAATATATATTTTTCTTGTTAGTATAGTCCTGGACTTGTTTGACCTTCGAATTTGAGGTCAAACTTAGTGAAGACATTACTGTACAGTTACAGTCTTTCTGATCTGTTGCTCCATTAACTACTATGTACTTCATAACCATGGCCCTCCCTCCCCACATCCCCCACCCCTCACACACACTAACATCTGTTCTAATCTATGATTTCTTTTAAAAAAGATACCATGTATTCTTAGTCATTTGCTTTATAAATACCATGGAGGCAGTAGTCATGGTAACACCTCACTCCCCCTCCCTCTCCCCCTGCCACTGTCTGTGGGTGGGCTGAGCTGTTCAGGATTAATAGGGATTAAATCTTTTAAATTTCAGACTATTAGTAAAAGTGGTTTATTGGTAATAGTGTTATTACACTATTTCATTGTGTGTTAAATACAATGTAAATATATGTATGTATACATACTGTATATGTATGTATATGTAGGACAGGTCATTAAAAACAGAGCAGTCAAAGGGTTTGGCTCTCATTTGACACAATCTCATAATAAATTAAAACAAGAAAAATTCAAATATATTTCTAATTCCTTAGTGCGCGGTAGTGACCACATACTGTAACAATCACATGTTACTGAGCCATAGAGCTACATGCATTTAAACAATACGCTGGTATGTAATGTAGCTATACATAATAGTTATACATGACATGTCAGTTAAGGTTATATGAGTAAATATATATATATATATATATATATATATATTTAATGTGTTCAGTGTAGGTCGATCACTTTAACCTGGTCGTTTTAGTGTTTTTCACACAGGTAGATCACTTTAGCCTGAGGGGGCACTACTAGTATAGCGATTGAAAAGTAAAAATAAATTAATAGAGTTTAATACAAGGGGTAATGTCATTAGTTGATGGTATGAACCAGGGGTGTGAAACTCATTTTTACCAGGGGCTCACATCAGCAATACAGTTTCCCTTGAAGGACCGGTTGTAACTGTACGACGGTCTAGACGTAACTACTCCATAACATATTAATACATGTTTCTGCCATTGATTATCTATCAATTATAAAATTGGCTCCTGTAAAGGATACACGTGTGTGGGTGGGTGTGGACAGTTCTTGATGTTCCAATGATTAGCTATGCAGTGCAGAGGTGCTTATTTACAGCATCATTAGCGCTCCAGACATTGTCGTCATCACCAACATCATCATCATTATTATTACCCCTGCGGCGGCCCCTGGTGTTCTATACCTGACGTTGTCGTGCTTCTGGATGTAGATCTTGTGAAACATCATGTCCTCCTGCTTGGCGTTGATATCTGCCTTCATCTCCATAGCAACATGGCGGGGAAGCACGGAGAGCAGCAGCCGTTCCTGCAGGAAAGGCGTGGGGGGGGGGAATAAAAGTTCAGTGTTGGAGAAGAAGTGAATTTAGAGGTAGAAGCAAAGGAGGCAGAGACACTGAAGCTCAGCCCAAAAACCCCACCACCTCACCAGAGGGAAACACTGACGAAAAATTCAGCAGATCAGTCACAGACTGTCAGCTCGGTGTGAGGTTTTAATAAGGAGGTGTTAAAATCTATAGGGACCTGTAATTGGCAGCCTGCTGTATATCACATTCACATTTGTCCAGTCCTTGTCTTTGGATCTTGACTTGTATTTTAGATCAGATTCTACATCAATCATTTTTCAGAGGTTGTCATAACAAAATCTCAGGAACAACCAAAGTCAGAGCAGAAAAAAAGATCAACTTAAATCCTTAAAAGCATAACAAATAATGTGCTTTTTTTTAACATTAAATTAAACACATTACAAAATGTGTATTCAGTGACGTGACATGTGACGTGTAACGTTCTAATGCATTTTGACTCAAAAACAAAAGAGGAAAGTAGGAAATCTAAAAGGATTATGCAAACAATCATAAATGAACTAAAATTAGTGCAAATGTAGCAAAACATAAAAATGTATAAAGAATTCTGTAAAAAATAAAAACTCTTTACAGTGAGATAAGTTTAAGTCAAGCAAATCTATTACGGATTAACAAAAACAGATCATTTGTGCTTTAGCTGCAGCACTGTCCCTACATGAAGGATATACAATGGTTATTTTATCAGAGCGTACGTCAACATCAACTCTCTCACCTGCTGCTGGTTTTCCCTCTGAGAGTGAAGGCGAGCTTGAATGCACTCCCTGGTCTCCTGAAAAGCCTGTCTCTGGGAGCCCTCAGCTGGGTAATGGGTGCAGATGCCAACGATGTTGGTGCAGGAGAAGATCAGAACGTTGGACACGATCTGTGAAAACAAACAACAAAATCCCAGGGTTAGAGCTCAAGAAATGTAGGTTGCGTTTTTCCAGTTTCTCCAGAGTAGTGCTAGACACACGCAAACTCTATTCTCATTTAAAAGAGACAGTGGACAGATGAGGCATTTAACCCTCCCCAAGAAATCAGGCTCTTCAGGCTGTTCAGCTGCCCGTGTTAACAATGTATCTTTATTCTTAGTTTTAGTGATATATTGTCCAATGTCACAACATTATTAGAGACTTTTTGCCTGTTACAGATCCATTTATTTTTATTTTAGCCTGAAATAGTCTTCTGTTAATAATACGAAAATGAAACAGTAGCATTTTCCTGCTTGTTGCCTCACTGATTGAACATCACACCAATTTCCTGTTTGAAACCCAAACTAAAGAAGTGTCGATAGGGTACGCAGTATCGGCGAGTACATAAGTGATAAAACTTTATACAAAATATGTAGTTTATTAGAATCCATGCTTGGTTCTGGACCACACTTGCATGTGCGTGCTTATTTTAAAAAAAAAAGTTTTTTCATTTAAAACAAATGTCATAAATTCTGGTCACACAGCCCCAGTTTGAATCTGTGCCCATCTGAGACAAACACAAACAGCAGATTTAGAAACAGTAGGAGGCCGAAGAAAACCAGCAGCCCTTCTCTTTTCTGTTTAATAGTCTGGAACAGGCAGCTGAACAACATTCACTCCAGCAGCTTTTCTGTTGCCGGAACAAACCAAACAAGCACTGTGCATCTTTATTAAGTGAAAAAGCACACTCAGACGCTCAGGAGTGACTAATGAAAAAGTCGACTGGAGGTGATGCACGACTAAGGGAAAATTAAGAAATGAGGTGTGAGACGGAGAGAATTTAGAAAAAGGTCACCCACTGATATTTTCTGTCTCTTATCTCTCTGACACACTGCCAGGCTAAGAACTCATTTAATTCACTACTAAACATAGCAAAGGTGTACGATTTGTATGAGAAATCAATTTAATACGAAGAGGGAAATATCAGAAATGCCAACATATTCAGAGGTAAATGCTTTAGCTTTAAAGGCTAATACAGCTAATATTTTCAGCAGGTTTTCCTCCAGTTGCCTTATTAAAAACTGAGGTTTTAAATGTTCTATAAAAATGAAATTTAGAAACCTTGAGGCTATGAAAGTATATGTAGTATTAGTATATACTTATATAACATGTATAACATTACATTAAATTCGAAAAAGGCTCCATTTTTAGGTTTTTCAAATTTCCTTTCCATTGACTGAATGTCTTACAAACATAAACATTAGCAGAAATGTAGCATTTCGTAGCATGTATAAATGTTCAGCCCCTAAGCCCTAACCCAACAGCTCTTCACACTTTAAGGTTCTTTGGTTTAAAATATTGAAGATCTGAGTTTTATCTTTAGATAGATGAATAAATAGATAGATAGATAGATACCATCATATTTTTGAGGTAGAAAAGCACGGTTCTTTCACACCTTTCTTATATTCAGTCAATGGTTACGAGAAGATTCTGACAATCCCTGTAAGAATATAAATTCCTGCATAAAATCCTCTCCTGGCCGTCTACCCTGACATTTACAGGTGGGCTCCTGCTGCCTACGGTGTAGTGATCCAGAATGCAGCTGCACATGCAGCCCCACCAACTGCTCGTAACACCCGCCAGCCCCCGCACTGCCATAGAAACAGCATGCATCAGAGGGATGCTTTCAGCAGGTCAATACAAATATTCCCCCGGCCAGCAGCCGTTCTTTTTTCTGATAATACTGCCACTGCTTACTTGGAAATGTGTGGGTTTTTATTTAACACAGAGAACGCATAAAAGCACAAAAACAATATGACTGAAAAAAAGATACCATGAACTCTAATTACCTTTACCTTTATTTTTTTTCTCTATATATTTTACAAATGTAATTAATGTCCTAACAAAACCGGTTATTTGCCTAGGTGACTCATGCATAGTCTTTTTTTAACCTCACTCATGCTGACTCATTTTAGTAGGACCTGAAAGCTGCTGAGCCAAAGACAGTCAAGAGCACTTAGGAAAGTCATGTTTACAGAGAGGGGAAAAAAAGATGGTTAAATCCCCATGTCGGTTTGAATTTAGTCCCCAAATGACCAAGAACCTACGACAGCAGTAATTCCAACTGAGCAGAGAAAATGTGATTTATCCCTTTTGGGGATGGAGGCCCACTGCCTAATGTCACTCCCGTCGGTACCGATCTTTATCTTTTCCACACAGATATTCTGTTATTATCTGATAAATGAAGGTGGAAACAGATACATCCCCCCCACCCCTAGTGAATAATTATCAGCTGGTACATCTTTTTATTGAAAATCCTGCTTAACACATGCAGTAAAGACATTGATGTATGAGCAGAGAAAACATCAAAACATTTCATATCCTCCACGTAGAAGGTACCGATGCAGTAAGACCTTTTTTCAATATTTTCTCCTGCTTTTTGTTGATATTTTTCATTGCACAAAATGTTGGAAAAACAATATATATATATATATATAATTGCAATAATTTGTTAATTGGTTTCATATTGAGGAAAAGACATTGGTTTGTAGTTTTATTTCATTTGTTTATAGGAAATTTTGCAGGGGGGGTGAGGGGGGGGCAACAGACTCAAGGTAATGACCTTCCTGTAAACATGAATTCCGCTCTCCAAATGGAGGTGTGGGTTTGAATCCCCATTCTGACAAGAAACTTTCCAAGAATCCTAGTAAAGACGAAGGTGCCCCCACCATCTCCACCTTTCCTCTTATATTTAGGCTGTTAATTTAAACTACTAAAAGAAGCTGCTTTACAGAACCACACAGCGGTGCGTGCACAGTGGCAGTGTTGACCCGGCGGTATGGAAATCTATTTTTCTGTTTGCAGCCACCCATAAGGTGCAAAAGCCTGTCCTCAAACTGCAATTGTCTCACTATGCTTGGACCAGACTTCTGTTTTGTATTTGTGCATCTTGTCTGCGCGGTGTCAGCAGCCAACGTGCAGCCCACACAAGTGAGAACAGCAGCAGTCACTAGAAACGATCCACAAATACAGCATCCTGTGCTGGTGTCTCTGTCGAGGCCTGTACTTCACAACAGACGTTTGAAACGACTGAGGATTTGATGACACCACATGTACTACAGTCTGCAGCAGGGGTGTCAACTCAGTCACTCAATGCATTGACAATTAACACACAGTCTACGTTGGGGCAACAGTACCAGCTATTTAAAACACCAACATCTAAGCTCTGGTAGGAGACAGAAATATGAAGTATATACAGTATCCCCCGTAGTTTGGTCTGCGACCCTGTGGTTAAGAATCACTGCTGTACAGTATCAACTTTTCAAAAATGTAATATTTGTTGTCTATGATTCTCAGTCATTCAGGTCATGGTCAAGGTTGAAGAGTTCTGTTGCCCCCACCATCTCCACCTTTCCTCTGGCAACTGGACGTGTAATATTTGTTGTTTTGATTCTGAAAACTGTGATAAGTCATGCTCAGTATTCAGGTCAGGGTATTTTTGGCTTTAATTCAATTAGCTTCATGAATTGGTTTTAAAAAAAAAACATTACCACAAAAATCTCACTTGGCTGGAGGTGAAATTCTTCCTCTGATACAAGACACTATGGACGTTTTATTTTGCGGCCCCCACCTTATCACAAATGTGGACAAATTATGTTCAGTCCACGTGCTCTGTTTTGAACATACAGTAATAAACAGAAAAAGATAAACAGCTCTCTGTCAACCTCGCTCTGTTCAATGGAATTCACTGCACAGCTGTGTTGGTCTGGGGTTTTTTTTGTTTTTTTTGCTTTACTTACTTTTGATTCCCTCGTTAAATGGATTATGTGTGTGCAGCCCCCTCAGTTAACACACTGAGGCACATTGTGTGCTCAACAGATATATGCAGGTCATGTGCTGCACTGTGATTACTGTGAGTGGTTCACTGCCAGCCTCAGTCTGTAATGCAACGTACAAGAGAGGGGGAGAAAACCTGTCTCACGTTAGAGACCGTAGGTATTTGTTCCGATTTTTTTTTTTTTTTTACCCCCGGAGCAAAGTCAGCTGCTGCACTAATGCCTTTGTAACAAGCAAAAGTACCACACGCAGTACAATGTACCAGCCATTCTGTCAGACACATATTATCAGACTACGCTGCTTCCTGGACTATTGTCCGACAAAGTGCACATGCGCGAAGGCTGTATTTGTATAAGTTGCAGAGAAAAGCAGTGATTTCTGCAGCAGGAACCTACATTTAGACAGTTGTGAGTGAGAGTTCTAAAATATCAGTCTGTTCTGGTTTTTACGCCAAATTCCTTCATGACAAAACTTTCCACATTTATTCAGGCCTTGATTTTGTACGATGAAGGCACGGAGCGAACCTTCTCCTGTGGCTGGGGTAACATTAACAACTTAGAGCTTAGTGGTTTGAACCATAGCTACATTGGTCTGTAACCTGGACATGAATGTGTTTGCAACGTACATTACGAGCCACTCTAGTGGAAAGTGTCAACTTCAATCGTATTCAGATCTGCTGTTAAAAAACGTGATAGAACAGAGTCATCTCTGCCTGGAGGAACTTCTCCAGACTCCTTCCTCTGCACCAGGACACTGTATGCTTTTAAGCAGTGCTGCTGCAGCACAGTAGACACTGAACTCCTGGGAACTTAAAGGTCATTCTCTGAGTCATCAGGCCTTTGAAGAAGAAAGCCCATGGACAAACAGAAGGAGAAAAAAAACACATTTCAATTTTTCATCTTGTGCATCAAAAGAGAAAAAAAAGGTACAGTTGGAAACACAGAGCATCTTCTATAGATGAACTCTGCAGCCACACCGGGGACAAGGATGTAACACTCACTGCTTTGTTTCCTGATGCTGTTACATCTTTGACAGGAAATATATACTTTTAATACCCGTGTAATGCAGTGTGACTGGAAAACAATCCTGAGAATAGGTAGGGTAAGAAATGTTAGGAAATCTGACTTGCCTGTCT